TCCAGTGGATGTCTTAATACTTTATTTAATGCAGATGGAGGCATTTATTCCGATTTCAATCGGGTGGCGGGGAGATTCAAGCCCTCATTTTATCACACTCGAGAGAAGAGAGCCATCGATGGGACTAAACAGCCGGTAAGAGTCGAGACCTACCTCTGTTTTCGTGAAAAACACAAAAGAATGGAAACAAGAAGTTGAAAACGTGTTTTGTAGGATGGATTACATGTGGGGCACGTGACGGTGAGTTTCCATATAGGGGACAAGGAGTTTCTTTTGGATCTCCTGCAGAATAAGTAAGTTCTTCTGCATACATTTGGCATGCTAATTGATCATTTCGAAATATGGGATGTATATCACGAAAGTTACCTTCATCGCAATTAGGAGTTAATTTTATCGCTAAAGTAGGACAGAAAAAAAATTTACGTTGCTCCATTATTTAGAAATTAAGAAAAATGGTTAACATTAGATGACTGGTGCCAGCACAAATACAATTCAATACCAGTTCCGAAATTGCGAAATTGTATATGATTTGCTCCTTCACACATTCGCTACCATCATCGACTCCTAGTCGGTAAAGATAAAACGTTAAACTTCGCGTTTCTTTGGTCAGGCAATGGATAGTCTTGTCTGCTGTTTGACAACATTATTCCAGGCTCCCAGCATGCATCGCTACATTGTTTAGTTTTAAAAAAAAATGCACACGTTCGTTAGCGTCTACTCTACTGGCAGCAAATGTGTTCAAACAGCAGAAAATACTATTTTACTTTCACCCCGAGCAATGATAGAATACGTCTCTAGGCATTGTTGCTTGGAGGTTAATTTTCGTCTTCGAGATCAGGACCCATCTGTATTTTTCTGAAGGTACTATTTCTTCCTCAGCGCTGATCCTAGTTGCTGTTTTTGCGAATTTTCATATACTGCAGTATCTCTGAGAGAGGGGGAAATCGCAATTGTAGCTTATGATTGATCTGTTGTAGGGATTTGCTGCCGGCATCATTTGTGGAAGTGCATCAGGAAAATGGGACAAGAGTGATCAGGAAACCTCCTCTCGAAGTAAGTTATTCCATAACCCCTGACGTGTTTTGATGCGTTCCTAAAACAATTGGTAAGCCATTTCACAGTGCAGGGATAATGACCCAATGGTGTCCCGACCTTGTAATCCTTCGTTCTCATACCCGTCTCCCCTTCATTTCTCTCTACTGTTCCAACCTTCACTACGCGCATGAAATAATGGAAGGAAACATTAATTGAATCTCTACGACGTTTCGAAGAGAGTAGAAAATTTACGCACTTTTTTTATCTAGAAAGTTTCTGTCCCGTACCGTTGGCCAAGCTGGAGTATAGTTTGAGGTCGATGGTATCAACGCACTTGCAGCTGTTGGCATTCGCATTGAGAGGGTTCAAAATACCCGTTTGGCACGGTGTTTACCGGCACGAAAAGGAGAAGGTATGGGGATCGCTGGTAATCCTGATTGATTTATATGCACTCAGCTGAGGAATGAGTTTCGCTGTACACATTTCTTGAGAGTGCAGAAAGGATACTTGATTGAGATCCCGTGCCAGAAATTTGGCATGGCTACATACAGCCTTGCTCGACCTCAGCGCAGGATGTCTTTGAACACACGCATCCCATCCCTTTTGCTTCATTCCCATCTTTTCCGAGGGGGGGAGAGGAGAGGGAGTTGGGAGAGAGATCGATGCTGAGGCGGGGGCGGTCTCATCCCCACCCTCTGTCTCCTACTCCCTTCTCTCCATCCTTCGAATCTGCCTTTCTCCCCGCTCCGCGATTTAGAATGAAACAGGTCTCTCCGCGGATGTGAGGAACGATTAAGCTTATTCCAACTCGAAACTTAATGCATGCCCAGAATTGGGGAAGGAGTAATTCATACGTGGAAGGTGGGTTTTCACTTCGATCATTTCTTCCCATCTCATTTTAGATGGATAGAGACGATACAGGTCGAGTTTGAAATGCAGTCAACTCTCGATAACTCGAAGTTCAAGGGAAATTCGAGTTATAGAGGTTTCTTAGATTCTGTACCCTACGTAATGGTTCATTCATGTGTACATCAATGCAAAACATATAATACCTACTAATTTTAGCATAATCGCTTGAAAAGTCAAACAAGAGAATTCGGCGTTTTTTCGGCACCTTCTTGCTTGACAATGATATTTTCTAAAGTAATAAATAATCACCTCCATCGGATCTGTGGTTAGCGAGATATCGGCCAGGAACTCAAGAAGAAAACGGCAAACACTTGGACGGCAAAATGTCAATCTTGGAAACGGTTCATCGCACGGAGGCGTGCAATAGCATTAACCGGAGGTATTTGATAAGTGAACAATTCTCTTCATACATAATTGGAGTTTGAATGAGATTTCAGTTTCATAGTTGAGTTTGAAAATGGGAAATTTAGGCAATTTGGACCCCCAGACATCCCTATGTGGCGAGGGAAAATACAAATCTCTCGTTACCGTAAGTTGCACTCCTCTTTCAGGTGCATTGGAAAAGGAAGAGACTTGTTTAATTTCCACCGCGTAGGGGAAAGTTCACCTAAAAATTGACAATTTTCCATTTTTGTTCAATCCGGTGGAGTTTTTTTCAATGTGTCGAAGCACTTATGGTATCAGGGGTGGAGTCCTTAGAAAGGTGAGCTTGAGATCTTTCCAACGATATATGACTTGTACCATTTTCGGAAGAAATATAATTAATAAAAATCTGCAGATTCTAGAAATGTTCTTTTTCTTCAAATGACTGAATACTGTCGTGATCACTAGGAAGGTTTTTTGGAGCTCTCGACGAGAGGGGAAGTGCATTTTCATATGAGAATTTCTTAGGGAAACGAAGTAGGTTCGAGTTATCGAGAGTTGACTGTATTTATATAGAACTGTTACTTTTTGTCTCCGTTACAGCAGGTGGATCACTGTCATTACCAGGGAAAGCTTCGAGGGATCCCCAACTCATGGGCTGCCATCAGCACATGCTCGAATGTTCTTTCGTAAGTTAACATTAGGAATCCTTCGCTCCTGCATTTTGCATCACATAGGTCAGGTCTCTTTTCCGCCTGGATAGAGTTCATCGGCAAGGGTGATGTACGAGACGTATCCTAACGACTACCATGAATTAACGAAGCAGATAAAGGAATCATGTTGGACTCCGGCCACTTCAGTTCCCATAGGTCATAATGAAATTTATCAGTTCTTGTTAACGTACATGCTACCCATCGCCAGTCATTAGGGCGAAGGAATTACACTTATCCTTAGCCCTACCTAATCATCTCATCCCTAGTTAGCCAAGATTATTCTTCGGGTAGGCTTGAGATACACGGAAAATAAGCTATTTTTGATTGACTTCCGCTTTCAATTAACTCGAAATACCTCATCGACAGATTTCTTGTACGGGATAGGGGATATTAACCTCCCATTCTTCAGCTTCCTATTAAGGCAGGGGTTCTCAAACTGGGGGGCGCGACAGGTGATGGTAGTTTTTTAAGATTATTATCAATTACAATGTGCAATTTCAAAAACTATGGAATATTTTATTTATCTATCTATTTTTCACTGTAAATAAAGCACATTCCCTCAGATCTTTCTGGCACTTTCTCCAGGAGTGCAAGACTAAATGAAAGCAATTCAAGGGATAGACTTTTTAAATTCAATTCCTTTTATTCAAGCGTGTACATTTCTTTCGGCGATTTCCTACGATTCAAATGAAGATGACAGAAGAATCGTGCGTCTCTTTGAGTGTAGCTTGAATGCTTGATGAATGTAGCGTCCGTGCACTCGTCTAAATAAATAGTCGAAGAAACTCAATGGCGCAGAAGAGCTGGGTTTCTCTGGCAGAGCAAAATTTCCGAAGACTTTTCTGTCAGGTCTTTGAAAATGAGATTTGTGCGTCCATTCCAGATTCGATCATTTGTGGGCCCAGAAGCATGTGAGCGTCGTTCTCTATAAATTACGCGAATGATAATCTGTTTCCTAGCTGTGACGCAGTCCCTGAAACGTTGCAATCCGTTTCCTATTTTTTTCAATCATTACATGAAAAAATCAGGGGGGGGGGCGCAGCGTAAAAAGTTTGAGAACCTCTGTATTAAGGTATGAGTTTCCCATTTCAGTTGTTTGACAACAAAAAAAGTTATAGTTAAAAGTGTGCACCGTGAAATTGAAATAATGCACACTAGCCGGTGAAGGAGTACTTACAGATACTAGCTGGGGTCTGTGAGCATGACTACTTTCGCCTAACCATCTTTCACCATGAGGCCATATTTCAAAGAGCTTGACTGTGAAAGTAAGGATGAGAGTGCAGTGCATTAATTTTGTTTCTTGCTTTGTAATGGGTGATTCCCGGTTGCCATGCATGTGGAAGGGGGGGTCTTTCTTGTGTGTCTGTTTGCGGGTCGAGGTCTAAAGTTACAGTTACGCGCTCTACCATGTGGCCCTTGGCCTTTGCCGTAATGTTTGACGACTGGCACGTGCGCGAGGGGCAGATGATGTTGGTCGATAACCTTCTCTGTCCCCGTCCCTAGGACTCCCGAATGGTAATCTGACTAGCCGTGGGTAATTGTGGGGGACATCCCCGTGGGGAATGTCTATTTCAGGAACAGGAATTCCGGGTGGCTTCCCAACTGAGAGAGAGAGGGAGGAAACAAACTATTTCTATCCAACAATTCTCACAGACTACGACTCCCCATTTTCTCGGCTGAGAAGAGCTCGAGTCCAACGTTTTAGAGGATGTCCTACTCACCAGACCATAACCCACACAACTAGATCCAGAGCTGAATATGTACCCCCTGTTTGTAATTTTAAACTTCACGCGACCTCCCTGTGGTGGACGGGTAAGGGGACTTCATTGAGTTTTAGGAAATCGAGGTGTTACGTCTCGATGTAGCTGTAAGTAAAGCCTGTTTTATGGAAGGGGGAAGTGTTAGTGGCATATTCGAGGACTAACAGGATAGCGAGAATCCTCAAGGGTTCTTCCATTCAGACATGACGAGGGTCTCTTCATGTCTTCCTCTTCAAGGGGTGTCCTGTTTGATGGGGAAGAGTTGTACCATGTGGAGAACGAAAAGGGGAGAGAGAAAAATCACGTCCTTCTCGCCCAGTCTCATCTGAAGCCTCGAAATTGGACATGCGGTGAGTCACACGGCTCTTCTGTGCCATATAGACCTAAAGAAAAGCATGGTGATCACGTCCATGATTCATCCCGTGACCGGAAAACCCCCCCGCCCCCCAAACCTAAGAAAGGCCGGAAGCGGTGTACGTCATGGTCATACTCCCATCTCCGCTTCCCTCCCTTGGTCTCTTGGACCGCACCTGTTATTTTCCATGCATCTGACCTCCCTCCCCTCCAACATATGCGTTTCCTATTTCATTCATCGTGAAAGAGGACGGGAGGAAAAAAAATTGAATTCCTATAGGCTTGCTGATGATTGAATAACTATGACGAGAACTATCCGCGCGCTGTTGCGTCTCGTCATCTTCGTATCCACGCCAATAGTACATCAGTCCATTTCGAGAATGTGCAATAAAAGTAGAAGAAAATGTGAGAAGTAGACTGTATGGAGCAAACTATCATATTACTTTGCTGCCTGTTTCACAGAAAACTATTAAAACGAGGACGGTAACAACATAGATAGAACAATTGTCACTTGATGCTGTTGTTCAGCTAATTGCATTCCTTCATTCCCCTCTGTTAGCCATCATAGAAATGTGGATTAATCACACTTTATGAGGAATCTATACGTCGTTGGCGTTGCGAGTACTGGTTGCCCCGGGCTGCATATCCCTCTTTGTCATTTGAGTGTTTATTTTTTCTCCGCTCAGCCTTGATTGTGTGCACGATTTTGAGAACCCCTCAGAAACACAACACTGCAGACTAAAGGGGGGAGGGGGTGGGGGAGAGAAAAATGTTTCTATTTATCTATTGATTCGGAGCCTTGCTGGCGTGAAGTCCCCGTTAGACTGGAAATCCTGATCTGTTTCCCTCGTGGTTCTTGCTTTGCAGTGCATGAACGTTAAAAAAAAGGAAGAACGGTACCGGTATGATGACTGAGCTTTGAAATCCCCTCTGGGTCTTAATCGTCCTTCATTTCACGGACGAAGGAAGTATCCGTTCCCCCAGGGCATGAATGTAGATAAGTTCCTCGTGAAAGGGAAGTCCTCTGTATCTCTGGAATCTGTGACGAAGCACTCCCTTTCTTGTCATGTCTCATGTCTGTCTGGGTCGAAAAGGAATGAAATTCCCTCGTCGCCTCTCGTATTCTCGCTTCCCCCTTAATTCAACATAATAGGTCATCTGTAAGAATCTGGTTCGGCAGAGGGAGTATCCATAGGTCTTGTGGCCTGGTGATGCATGGATGCAATAGAAACAACAGCAAAAGAGCCCAAAGGAAAAGTAGTCCCAAGCTCCGAATCAGGATCTGCATAACGGCGAGATTTCACGAAGCACCTAAAATCTTCAGTCTTCCATCGATTCAGCATTGACAGGGCCAAGGTAAACACGAAATACCTGGTAACGGAAGGCGTTGTGACTCCTTGTGTCCAATGAACAGGGCAAGGAATCTTTCCTGTCGCTTCGTGCCAAGCCCGGGTAATTGATGTTTTCTTCCGTTAGTACTCCCTGTCCCAGTCCCTGTTCACCGACATTTTTGTGACCTTGCGAATGGGAAGGTGGAGGGAGAAGAGGGAAACGGAGATACTTTAGGTGGAGATGGATTTCTTCTTTCTCCCGTGGGAAAACCCACTGACTAGATTATTCTGGAAGAAAGAATCTGGTAAAGGGAAGGCGTGGCTGTATGGCATATATCCTCTGCAGTGTACCGTACATACATAGGTACGAGGTTGGAGGACGACTCCGTTCTCTTCATGGATGCAGGTCCCGTCCGAGTCGAGAATATATGAGTCTTCTTGTCTAGTTCCCTCTTTACATCATCATGCACGTAGGAAGAGAATAGGGATTGTTTAATTCTCACCTTCAGCTTAGAGCAGGGGTGTCAAACTCGATTAGGCTGGGGGCCGGATGAAAATCTTCGGGAGTGATTAGGAGCCACAATAAAAATCTAACATCTTATCTTTAACGCAAACAGGCTGAAATTTGCAGTACTTTTCCATAACCAACTGTTGAAGAGGACTTCGAGCGCCGGACAAAGTGGACTAGGGGGCCTGATCCGGCCCGCAGGCCGACAGTTTGACACCCCTGGCCTAGAGAATGACGGCCTGGGAATTGTTGTTGAAGACGTATGTCTAAATAGGACCCGACCTATATTGTGTTGGATGGTGGCATGTTTAATATCTTAGGGAACGTTCATCGTGCACCGCCACGTATATAACCGAATACTGTAGAACCCAGCCTGTCGCCCCTGGTATATACTGCATGTGACTCTTGTGCCTTCTCGAGTTTTACCCTATCGTATCCTCTTCCGTTATTCGAGTTGATAATATTTGATTTATAAAAAAGAGTGGAGACACGCCAAGATGATCATAAGTCACGTTACCAAAAATTCCGTGAAACTCGTTAAACCTGATCCTGATTGATTGCTCAACAGAGACAGGGAAAACGAGTTGGCGTATTCTAGTGACGAAAGAGAAGCGCGTCTTTGTCTTGGTCTATCTCTTCTTGCTGCTGGGTCATTGCCTCCGAGTCTAGTAAATTGTACGCCGAAAAATATAAGCTGCGAGTCTTTTCCTCATAGCAGCTTCATTTACAAAACATCGTGCCACATATAAAGGTCAGCAGGAAAATCCTTTGGAGAGGATCAAAGGGGAAAAGAAGAGAGTGTTAAAAGGAAAATTTCATGAGAAGTCTGTTGCTGGGCCCTTTCTATACAGTATCTCCAGTATCCAAGGTCCCATTTTATCTCCTGTTTATTTTCTTAGACATTCTGGAAATGGACGAGGGTTGTAGTCTGGGGCATCCATTTGGATGTTGGGACGGGAACAAGAAATAGTAAGTGTGGACTGTGGAGTGTAGAGGGAGAACACCCATTCCTCAACATAGGGAGTGTCTTTTCGTGACTGTCTCCGCTCATGATGAGTTGAAATCCTCTGGACTTAGCTCTAACCCTTCCTAGGTCCAATGTTGCCCACGGGCTGGAATTCTAAAGTACTTTTACCCACCTCTCTGTCATAAAAATGGTGGGGATGAAAGGAATTTCATATTTCCTCTGAAGGGTTTAATGAGTAGGGTAATTTCTTTATGTTTCGCAAAACATTAGCTCATTCCAAGTGCTTTCCTAATTATCTCAATGCCCGTAGCGTACTCTTGGTTCCGCTTGGTTTGCCCGGGAGCCATCTGGCAACAACTGCTGATTGTTGAGTTGTTCACGTGTTTTTCCTTTAGTTGATCTCACATTTGCTCATTTTGGTTTGGAAGTTGGAAGATAATGTAATTTTAGTAGTATACAAGGTATAGAATACTTTTCCATTGAGTTATTGAACTATTTGTTGAAGTATGTTGAAGAATGAAAGAGGAGAGAGAGCTTATAGAGCCCTAGGCAAGCGGGGGACGGATTCTGAGCTTGACAACATTGCCCATTCCAAGTGTCCTGCCTGTCCTCCGTGATTATCCAGAAACGGTTTGTGGGTGGCCGAGTTCGCAAGTCACGTTACAATATTCCCAGCATTGGCTATTGGCTAATGGTTACTGGGTCAATGTAAATTCGTTACCTACGGGAGTACGGATGGAATGAGGACCTAGAAACTTTTTCATTTCCACAACGACGAACTGCTCAGTCTTATCTCGCCGCTATGTTTAGCTGTAGGGGGCTGCATGCTGGGGGAGGTGGTGCAGAAGTAGAAAGGAAGAAAACAAGGGCAGACGGGGGGAACAGACAGACGGAAAAAAAAAACACGTGGAACATCTCGTTTTTTATACTCGTCGACCCTCGAGTGTTATCATCTGGTTTTCGGTACTTGGGTTATTTCGGTACTCTTTGTAACCTCCCCAATGACAATGGAGTCACAACCTGGTGATTCTCATCAGTTTGTATAATCGATTCCAATAATTTGTCTTGGAACGGATTTGCTTTGGGATACGGCTCTTCCTGGCCCCGATGACACAGGCGAAGGGATAAGAGGTCGCTTTTGTTAAGAGTTCCGTATTTCTTATAAATTGTGGTGTCCACGTCTCTCACTGGAAAGATAATTGCATATTCGGGTAATTCTCAGTATTAATTGCTACACTTTGTCCGCGAGATTTCGTCATGAAGGCGCAATAGCATCTAAAGAGTCATTGGGTGTGTCTTATTTTGTGTCTCATGGCGAGAAAAGGACAACGGAAGCTGAATGTGTTACATTTCCTGTTCTTGCAGGATATCCCGATTCCGAGCGAAAGGAGTCGATAGGCCTTCGTCATCATCTACTCCATAGGGTGAGTGAATATGAATATCCTTCCACCACAACCCACTTGTACTGAATCGTTCTATATCGGACACTCGGATCCGTGAAGCCATGATGGCAGTAGCAGCAGGAGCTGCGTCATGAGAGCGATGACATCGCTTCCTGATTGGGGGCAGCTGCTGGTCGGTCGATAAGCCGACGATCCCACGCCTAGGTAAAGAAGCAGAGAAATGGATGGATCCCTGTACGGATCCGGGAATGGTGATAAGGATGAGGAAAGGCTTGGGTGTGGTGCATTGTCGCCTCCGTCGTACAGCTAAAACAGTCCAGTATTCAGTAGACTGGACTGGTCCTCTTGTCCCAGTCCAGTCTAGTCAATCGCCTTATGGGCCTAGTGTGGGCTTGCCTCGCCCCGTGGATCGTGGATCTCCATGGGCCTTGGGTCCCGGACATCCACGATTCCACTTTCTTTTTCATTTATCTCCGCTACTTTCCCACCATCCTTATTGAATCCATGCATGAGATGCATTCATAGTATCATAATTTAATTTCATCACGAGCACATAAAGAAGACCTCGGATAGAAATGATTTAATCAAGGCATAACGTGTGCCATTCGAACTCTGGCCTTTTGCCAGTACGGCTTTACTTTATGAGCATTCTAGGATATGGGCATACCTGGACGGGATTATCGCGAAAAACTTACGCCTAGATAGATCTTGGAACACCTGGATGTGTGATGCTGATGACTAACTTCCGCTTCTCCATGGAAGGCATTTGCGGCGGAAACTGACCATTATCACACCCGAGCCTCGGGCGAAATAGCCTTGTCTAAGTATAGTATACTCATCCCGCAATAAGCGCATTTGGCCCATTATCAATTTTGATGGTTGAGTGGATCCCAAGACACGAGGGAGTTGCGTCATGTGGTTCTGGGATGGTCTCGCATTCTTACATGTGACACACCGGAGTATTGTTTCACCCCTCATTTTATGAGTGTCGAGAATCGGGGCATTGTGTCTCGCCCTTGACATTGTCTTCCTCTCTTGTTCACTTGCATGAACGACATCTATACACAAGCCGTTGATTCTGCCTTTGGCACCCACTACATTACTATGACAATGCCTTTCTTCACATTTCTTCCTCTTCTATGTGTCCTCTTGAGAGGAAAACAGAAAAAGCAGAGTACAAGCACCCTGTGCTTCCGGTACTTTACTTTGACTTGCTCGTACCTTGACTTGCAGGGGAAAAGGTCCGTGTCGAAAGGAGAGGAAAAGGCAGATGACATCAAAGACCCGTGGAATGCCAAAGAAAATTCCCGCTTTGTGGAGTTGGTTCTTGTCGTCGATAATGCAATCTACAAGTCTCATGACGGGAACAGGACACGAATCATCGATCGCTGCAAGAAAATCGCTAATATTGTCAATGCAGTGAGTCTTGAGAATGTTTATGTATGACCGTAGTGGATACGTAATGGAAACAATATTCATTCCTAGAAACCCCATCCTTTTAGGAGGAAGGAGGAGTTGTTTGAGAATAGTCTCGTGAAGACAAAAATAATTCAATAATTAAATGCTAATGGGATCTTCCTAACTTTGCGGGAGGAACAGAATACATAACTGTCTTCAGCCCATAACTATCCTCAGCTTTGATGACATTTTTTTTGCTTTTTATGATCAGCTTTATGCCCCGCTGAATATATTTGTGGCTTTGGTGGGAGTTGTGATATGGACAGAACTTGACGAAATCACCCTCAAGCCCAATGGAGATGAAACACTAACAAATTTCCTCCACTATCGACGAGAGAGACTGGTCGCTGAGATCCCCAATGACAATGCCCAACTCCTCACGTATGTTCCTAGTCCTCTTCACTCAGAATTTTCAATTGAAACTCGCTTGGTGACACTTGATAATATTGCTTGTAATTGTGGCACAGGAACATCCAATTTGAAGGTGGGGTGGTTGGAAAGGCCCTGAAAGGCCCCATATGCACTTTCAAGTTCAGTGGTGGAGTGAACATGGACCATAGTCAAACAGTTGGACTTGTTGCCACCACTGTAGCACATGAAATGGGTCATAACTTTGGCATGGAACATGATGAAGAAGAGTGTGATTGCCCTGAGTCTAGGTGTATCATGGCACCTTCATCCAGGTGAGATTCAGCTGGATTGAGACATTTTACAGTCGTATGAATGGCTTTTGGAATGTTTCTCCTGTTGTCAGCTCATTGAAGACAACACATTGGAGCTCATGCAGCAGAGAGTATCTTGCTCTGGCCTTTGCTCATGGAATGGAATATTGCCTCCGGAATCGCCCAAGGACTATGATTGGGCCTGTCTGTGGCAATGGATTTGTTGAACCTGGAGAACAATGTGACTGTGGACTCCCAGAATTCTGTGATAATCGTTGCTGTGATCCAACTACCTGCATGCTCACCCGTAACTCCACCTGTGCCACTGGGCAATGCTGTGATCTCAATGTGAGTTTGAAAGAGCATTTCCTGTTTTCACAGGACATGCAATTGATTGTGACAGTCATTGATAGAATAATTTGATCTTTTTTGTTTCATTATGTTTTGAAGAGATTTCTGATAGCTAGAAGCATCCTAATTGGTTTCATTAGCCATGAGATCAATATGCATAATCTCTGAAAGTTTGCCTTGATTTAGATTCTTTGTTTAGCCTGGGTATTGTTCTTTCCATTTCCTCAGACTTGTAAACCAAAGAAGGCCTCAACATCATGTCGCCCTGCTCTGCACGAATGTGACTTGCCAGAGTTTTGCACAGGGAACTCAGAATTCTGTCCGGAAGATACCCACAAACAAGATGGGTCCACCTGCCATGATGGCAAGGTAGGCCTTCTCCCAGTTCAGTCTTTCCCTTCTCTACTTCATTTGCTGATGGTTTGATGGTACCTGGTTTGAGCACCTGGTCTTCATTCAGTTGATGTTTCTGTGAACATTGTAGGCTTACTGCTATGCTGGATCATGCCGCACACACACAGATCAATGTCGAATGCTCTGGGGTCCAACAGGCCGATCCTCTGACGACAGATGTTACAAACGCAACACCAAGGGAGATCGGCATGGGAACTGTGGCTATTTCCACACTAATGAAACCTTCACTCCTTGTGCAGAAGGGTGAGACATAATTTTGTCTTCATGTTAGACCTTTGAAGGATTAAATGAAAGGCATATTTCAAATGTGAAATTGCAGGGATGTGATGTGTGGTATGCTGCATTGTTCTCATCGCAACGAACGACTGGAATTTGGTATGGAAAGTGTTTCCATTCTCTCACATACCTTCATTCAGAGAGAGCGAGGAGTGATACCCTGTAGAACAGCCATTGTTGACCTTGGTTTGGACCAAGTTGACCCTGGCCTAACTCCTGATGGTGCCAAATGTGGAGAGGGAAAGGTAGGCTTTGTGATTCTCTTGATATTAGGAGTAGTCTCTGGATTTCTCTTTAACCCTCTTAGTGCCATGGGCCCGTATTTCAGCCCTGGCCTGATTATGTGAAAATTACAAAATTTTCTCACTGCTGGTTCACATGTTAAAGTGGTGACAGAGGGCAATGTTAGACATATTTAGTAAGATGCCATGGTCTGAATGCACAAACCTCCTTTAGTTAGCAGTCCTTTAAGAATTCATGGACTCCATGATAGAAAAGAGCTGTTTAGTTTAAAGGCCCCCTTATCCCTCCTAAATGTGGTTTGTGCATTTGGGCCTATGTTTTCAGAAAAAACACACATGGCACTTTTCACACATCCCTTGCCAGAAAGCATGGTGCTAAGATGATTAACCTTTGAATGACACCCATATGAACTGTTTCTCTTCTTGTGGTGACTCTCTGCATGCAGTGATGCAAGAGAAGAAAGCTGAGAGTAATTTGTATCTTTTATGACTATGACTTTGGATTTCATTTGTGAGGGTTGGGACTGGGAGTGACCAAAGGCTGACTTTCATAAAAACATGGTTTCTCGTTTGCAGTCCATGGCATTTTAAAGCAGAATTTTATTTTAAAGGGGCCAAAATAAGTGTGCCAAGATCTTTAAAAAAATTCACATCATGAAAAATTTGTCATGAAAAGAAGGCCTGCTAAGAATTGTTTGCAAGATCATTGGAGGCATAGAACCCTGAAAGATAAAGGATTCAGAAGAGGAAGTGGAGCCTTATGATATTAGAAAAAATGAGAGAGATGCAGGCCAATCTATGAATGCATGTGTTGGGGTGCATCTACTTTACATGAGAAGTGAGAGGGATATGAATGAGCAAGCTCAATAAGAGTGGTTTGGCCATACTGACAGGGAGGGATATGAATAAAATCCATAGACAATTATTAGCTGGTACCTGTTCATAGGTTAATTGCTGCTGTTAACCCTTATAGTGCCAGAGACAATTAGATCGATGTTACAAATTTTGTTTATAAGTGCCAGAGATGAAGAGCTGACAATAAAAGGATTAAGAAATGTATTTCACCAGAGCGCTTGATCGCATTTATCCTCTCACTTTAACCCATCTAGTGCCAGCACTTTGACTCAGGCATTTTTAAATGATATTCTTAGCTTGATCTAATTGACTCTGGCACTAAAAGGGTTAACAGACCGGACCACCCCAAGGCATTTGGATTTTTATTGCTTGAATCGTTGTCCATGTAGATGTGTGTAAAGCAAAAGTGCAGGTTGGTGGAGTCTGTTCAGTCTCCCTCTTGCTCTGGAGGTTGCTTCAACCATGGAGTGTGCAATTCCAAGGGGCATTGCCATTGTGATGTGGGCTATGCACCTCCACATTGCATGGAACCTGGTCCTGGTGGAAGTGTTGACAGTGGTCCTGCTAGTGACTCTTCTGGTAATGGCATTCAATAATTGCTCATTAAGCCTATGACATTCTGAGTTTTTTTTTTCATGTGACATTCCAGAAATTAACACGCTGCGTGTACGGTGTGCAGCCAGGGAGAATTGGATCAGATCATTCATATAGGTATCAGCTGATACCGATACTTTGGATCAGTATCAGTGCATCCCTAATTCTCATTCATACCAGAGTAGAGGAACAAAAGATGTGACACCATTCTAAGGTCTATCAACAAATTGGCCACACAAATAAAAAAGGGAGATTCCCCAGATTCAGTATGAAAAAAGTTGCCCATAGGTAGTCACTTTATAGACACCCAGTATTTTTCTTCTGACTGCAGTCTTGAAATGGGATATCAAACCTGGCACATTAATCAGGACTCATAGTTGGGAAAGCTACCTGATGCTGACTCAAGTAGGACATGATCTGTTATTCTATAATTTAGCATTTTTGTTTCTGAAGGTGTGTGCAGAATTCCTACTTATGAAGGAATTTAAATGTTTCCTGAAAAGTATGCCAAAGTAGGTCTGCCCACTTTATTGTCAGTGACATTTTTGTCAGTTCATGGGCACCACATGAAACCAGTTTCCAGTCTATTGCCAGATATTTTCAGTTTGTCTCATTCTTTGCAAATGGATTTCTGGAGGGCATTACTCTAGCTCTGGTTTAGTTTCAGTTAACTGGATATATACTGAAACTAGTAAAAGCAAAACATAAGTTACACTGAATGATGTGAAGTTATTGTATACCTTCCTTTTGCACTGCAGGTACCTGGTCTAATGACTTGATATGAAATGGCTTGACCCTCCAACCTGAGCATTTGGGTTTTTTTCTTTCTCAATCTCCCTGGCTAGCAATTTATTTTATTCCTATCAATGCCCATAACTGGTCCTTTTACTTTTAAGCATTTTATTTATACATTACACAAGTTAATCTTAAATTTTGGCAAGGAAGTACATGACCAACAATCTGTTGTTCAATGATAGCCACTTCATAGCTAACTTACATTTGACTCTTTCTTATGCCTTAGCAACATTATTTAGCTCCTGGAAGGTAGCTTGGTTTTCTACTTGTGTAGTCCTAATTTCCCTGCTTGTGGAAAGATAATTAGAAGCATCTCAGAGCAAAACTCACACTTACCTGTAGGTTCCCATGTCTTTTGTGCTGTGCAGTAGGTTGAGGCCCTACTGAGAGTCATAGCATGCAAGGTGCAAGTTTCGAAACACCTATCACTAATGTATTTCAAGTACATATCTATATTTTCCCTTCTTGGCTCCACTATATTTTACATGCAAACAAAACTAACCTCATTGTTTTTTGTACACCATCATTTGGCAGAAATAAATGTCAAAGTAACAATGTCATGGTATAAAAACCTTTTTTTTCCTTCCTGTTTTCTAAATTATTTCCTAGGCCTTGGAATAAGAAATAAATATTTTTTTTTGTGTTGTCAGTCTCTTGTGGATTCAGGACTGTTGGATGTAGGCTTATAATCTGTTTCTAAGCAATGAACAGTTGTTCACATAACATTTTGGCTTCTAAGAATGTTTTCTATCCATCCAACTTTGTACCCTTTTACTTACATGACCAACAGCAGTGGAGAGTGACAGTGAGTATGAAAGATGTCATATTCTGTTTCTGTACACCATAACCCTTTTTTTTTTAAGTCAAACTTCCTGTAATTTTTCCTGCTACCCTTTGTCTCTTATATCTTCATCACTTTTACATGAACCTTTAATCATTCCAAATTCTTTGTAGCCATCTTGAATCATGAGAAATGAGATTATCATCCTGAAAAAAATAACCTCATATCAGGCTCTGTTAGTTGATGCCATTAGATCTAGTAGCATGGTTTCATGATTTCAAGTTTGGCTTAAGTTTCTTGATAATGAAAGCCTTGAGTGTTGTGGAATGCCATTGCTTATCCTTCTTGTTGGGGTTCTCTTCTGCATGTTGATGGCCTAGATTGGAATGCATTGGCAAATTTTAATTTTTATAACAAACTCATTCTGCTCTTAATCTTGATGATTATTTGTCTGTTCCATAGGTTTGAGTGGCTTTGTGATAGCCATGTACATCATCTTCCTGGGAATTCTACCCATTGCTTCCATTTTGGCATGTCTCATATTTTATGGTCGTCGGGAGAATATCAAGATATGGTGCCGAAACCCAGCACAGAAGACAGGAACTGGTTCCAAGTATGATGTTCCATCCTCCTTTCCCCTATATTTGTCTCTGCTTCCAAGTGCATTTATTTATTTGACCTTTTCCAATGCATGAAGTTAAACTCTCCATTTATCACTGAGTGCCAGGTGATACCAAATGCCCATTACAAAATCCACCCAGTTATCTGCAAAGAATTTCTGAGGAAAAACAATGAAATATTCAGTGGGAGATTCCAGAATGACTACAGTTAAGAAAGCTTTGGATGAAGGGCATATGTTGCCATTTGTTCAGGTCTTGGTGGAACTGGATCCTGGACAAAATAGTCTGTTTACATATGGGGTAGCCAGTGAAAGACTTGTCATTGAGTGCTTTGAAGCCAGGTCTTCCTTCCAGTCAATGAAAATAGAGCTGTCTAGTCTATCTACTGATGAACATCATTAGAAATGGATTGTATTTTTTCTTTTTTTGGTGATTATCACTAGGTAGGATAAAACTATCTATGCTCAGATAGTTAAGCTGTGCCTTGTTATTCACTTGTCCTGCTAAAATGGTACAAGGATGCTTTATATTTGTTGTCTGGGAGCATGATTTAGGAAGTTACTAGTGTAATGAAGATATTGTCCTTCTAAGCTTTGTATCTTCTGATGGTGCCCATTATGTGTGTCCAAACTTGGATGCATAAAAAATTGAGTTTGAACACCTTAAATACAGACATGCTGAAAGTAAGCCAGTAATCTGCTCAGAGCATGTACATTCCATTTAGCAGTACTCAATTAATTTCCTGTGGAGTAAGAATTGAGCACAGAAATCAATATCTATCTCTTGTGAAACATTTCTTAAGGGAGGTCACCTCTTTTCTTGAAATTCTCCTGTCTGGGAGCACTTAAGCCCAAGATTTCAAAATCATGCAAAATGATCATGGCCCCTCCAAGTCTTTCTCTGTAACATGTTTATCTTGTGCTAGGTAGAACTGTTTCAGAGGGTGACTTTGCAAAGGGTTAGTTTTGTAACAGTGTCACAGTGTTCAAACATAGGGACTATATCATAGATGGTTTTACCCTATACCTGTGGTTCGTTTACTATAAAGGATGGCCCATATTATGTGCAAAGTTTAAAGTAGTATTATACTTCAGTTACTCAAAGGAATATTTAATTATTTTTGTTCCTTGTAGAAATTAAAACCTAACCAGCTAGGTAATGGTGTGCCAATGGTATGAGACTCCATCTAGTAGAAGTAGCGGGTCTGTACTCTTTCTTGTCTTATGCATCATTCTACTCCATAAAAGTAAGCTGTCACAGAATAGAGGCACACCACCCTCTTCTTGCTCCAAATATGCATGAGGACCACCAAATGAATATGAGTTGATGCTCACATTTATTTTTTTTGCTGTGGAAAGATGAATGAGTCTAAATTCCAGACCTGTTGCTCCTACTCAGTAGAGTCTCATACCATAGGTACACTACTTTTTTCAGGAATTTTATCCCACTGGCTGAAATTTGATTCCTTCTTGAAACTAAGTACTTATTAACTTATTCCCTAAATGATGAATGGATGAATGACAAATAAATAAAGCTGTAGTATATATATGAGTATTCTAGACCACCCTGTATAATGCTAGGCTCTCAAGTACTTGAAGAGTATTCTCGAAGTCTCTGTATTGTCAATGTTGTATGACCATTTCTTTTGCATCACATCATGAATAAATCAAGTTTAAAATGTGAATTCAATATTAAATTTATGCATTGACAAATGAACTTTTCCTTTCTGAAATGCTTTTGCTTATATGCATGGCATTCTTATGTGATCAGTTGGCATTGTTTTCTCTCCTGCAGGTTTCCTGGTTTTCCATCCTTCCCCCGCAAGCCCCATTCTGCTACCCGCAACTCTGGTCCTCATGGCTCCCTTGACATTTCCAGTCCCATTCTGGAGAGCCCAAGCCACAATGCTAAGAACTCCTTGCTTCTGCATGAACCAGCCCTGAAGGGCGAGATCCTGGCAAATGGTGAAGTAGACTCCAGCCCTCTTTCCCCAGGTCACTACAGAGGTTTTTCATTTCAACCACTGCATGGTAAAGAGCCTGAAAATCGTCCCACTGCAGTTGTGGCCCCAGTATCCCACAGTCGGCCCACCAGCCCCAATGGATCTGCAGCCAAATTGAAGCCAGCTCGACCAGCTCCACCTGTTCCTGCAAAAAATCCTGATTGTGCAAGTGAAAATACAACCCATAAAATTGCTCACCCTTCATCCATTTTGAAAGCAATTAGTAGTAATTCTTCTGGAACTTCACCAGCCAATGATAGTCATAGAAATTCCAATACCAGAGTCTCCTTTACCCTGAAAGACCAATGTCGACCAACAATCAGTGGCCCCATCCTGAACCAAACTTCAGCCAACCTATCAGTTGCAAACTTGACTGAAACTCGGCCAGAAGGAGTTTCACATGTTGCTGGCTCACCAGCTATTGTATCCCTGGTGGGTCATGAATCAACAGATGAGAAGCAGAACTTAGTGTCAGAAAGAGTGAAGAGATTTGAGTCAAATCCAGTTGTGGAGGTGCCACCAGTGAAGGTGATCAGAGATACTGTGAAGAGCAGCAGTGAGACTGGAAGTGTGTCTTCAGAAACTGATTCTGACAAGACATCTTCATCCATGTCAAAATGGGCATCTCGTCTGGTCCCAAACATCTCACTTGGACGAACACTTTCCTCACGGCTAGCCAATCAGCAAGAGAAGCCAAAACCTGTAAAGAAACCAGACAAACACAAGTTCAGTACTCTGCCCAGAAACAGCAAGTTCAAGAATCTTCCAAGGGTGGATAGGGAAATTCTTCGTGGTTTGGAGATCTCAAATCCCATACCTCAAAAAGAGATTGATGTGCCTGCCTTGACAATCCCGGTGAAATCCTTGATGGGGCAGACACAGCCACAGAGGAACTCTTGGTCACCAACATCTCCTGAGGCTCCTACAGATCCAAGCCTTTCTCGTGGTGAGAGTATGAGAGCTGCTACACTCACTCCAAAACCTCAGATTCCTCATTTTGGCTCACTTCGAGGCGCCAAGCGACCATTGAGTGTTCCCTCAGCCCGACCCACATCTCCACCTCCACGACCTCCACCAGTTAAGCAGGAGGAGCTTCACTATATAAACGAAAATGCTGCCTCTCAGCCATTGTCTTTAATTGAAGAAGAGTGCACATCCCTAAATGGGAACATTTATGAGAAGATTGATGAAGGTAGCCCTGACAAAGATTTTAAAGGTTCTGCTCCTTCTCACAACTCATCAGCTGATGACTTGTTTTCTACCAATACCAGAACTAAAAGTGATGATAATCTTTCAGCTGGAAGTTCCGAAAGTACTGGTTTGCTGTCAGAAATCTTATCAGAGTTGAAGACCAGGAATGTAGTGCAAACAGGCACAAAGACTGAGGCTGAGAAGTCACTTGGAGGGATGGACACTCAATGTAACGGTGATGGTCACAATGTAGGGCCCACATATTCAAATGTTGTTTCTACCCCTGTTGCAACTGTTGCATCAACACTTACATCCTCCATCAACACAATGCAAACTTCAAAGCCATTATTTTCCTCCTCTTCCAGTTATAAGCCCTCCAGACATGAAGCATCAGCATTATCCACTTTGGGGAACCTATCTGGGTTAGGGGCTTCTTCAGTGACAAAGCCAAAGTTGGAAACAACTTCATCACTGACCTCAACTCCAGCTATGAGTGCATCCATTGTCAAACCTGCTTTCTCCTTTCGACCTGTTACTTCTGCTTTCAACTCTTCCAAGGCAAACTTATCAACTAAGCCTATGATGACACCCATGCTGCCAAGTTCAAGTTCTGGTCTTCTGAAACCATCAAAATTGAATCATGGCGCAACACCCTCCTTGGTACCTGCAAGTACTCCCTCCTTAATCTCTACTTCTATTTCCCCTGCTGCTTCCAGTGTAACCAAATCCTCATTGGAAGCATCTGCAACATCCCCTTATACTGTAGCAGCCAAGGAAGCCATGAGTAAGACTCCTGCCTCTTCAAAAAGCATGCCCACAACAAGTGTACCAAAGCTCAGTACCTTTAGTTCCATGTCATCATCACCATCATCATCCATGTCCACAGTATCAGATGAAGTCAAACTTGCTACTAAGTCATTTGCCCCACCCTCTACACAAACAGTCCCTAGTACTGTCAATAAGTCTGTAACAATAGCTGATTCCACTGTGAAATTTACTACTTTCAAACCCATTGATGCTGCATCAGCTGTGGATAGTGGGAGAACTGAAGAAGGAGCAGGATCAAAGCTTGCACTGACCCAAACCAAAATACCAGCTGTGTCAAAAGTAGTGCCCTCAGGGAAACCAGAGATCAGCAAAGAAGGAAAGCCCTCAACATGTACTAAACCTCCAGTTAGTGCTGTGAAACCATTGTTGGCACGAAGTCGAATCCCACCACTGAAGGATGGGAGCAAGGAAAATGTGAACATTGCATTGGATGTTCTTCATGGTAATGTGTCAGGAGACATATCATTGGCCAGTAATGTTGGAAAGAGCAGTCATGTGTCCAGCTTGCAGCAGAGGTTTGAGAAAACCTCTAATTCCAAAATACCCACTCCAAGTCAAAAGAGCTGATCAAATGATTAGTTAGCTTTGGTGAAAAAGATGCTAGGTTGTGGGATTTTAATTTATTGATTCTGACTGCTGGTGGGTTGACTTCATTCATATGATTATGTTGTGCATCTGCCATCAGACCCAATGCTGATATTGGCAAATGTATCATAGCATATGATTATTCTCAACTGTTGCTGGCAGTACAGGATATTACGTAATGCTCATGTGATTTTATTGTATGTGTATGTGGCAGGTTCTCCCTCCTTCCACCAGAGCTTCTTAGGCTTCCCTTTCCTGCTTTTCATACCTGCAGACTTTGCTGGAGGCATGGACAATCTGCTTTGCACATATTATATTGTCTTGAAAGGTATTGTTTTGAGAGAAATAGTATGATGAATATGAACATACTCATACCATATTGCAACCATTATATGATTAGAATTCCAGCAAAATCCCTCTACAGACTTATTCTGGTGCCTTTGTTATTATCATTGCAGATGGAAGTACCTGTATAGTATTTTCCACTTGAAGAATAGACTTTTGTCATCTGTACAGCTATGGGCAATGAGAATTCTTTTCTTGTTGTAAGTTGCAGATTTTCCATTTTTTATGGAGAGATACACCTCAAAGTATTTTCATCAGCTGCAAGATTTCCTGTCTTCGATCTCAGGCATGACATCAGTCCTTTCTGCAAATGGATTATACTATCTGTGCTGTGTTAGATAGAGTGACAATAACATCTTGTCATGAATGGAATTCAGGTATAAAATGGAGATGTTTCTCCCTGGATTAAGAAGGAAGAGTTTTGAGAAGTGTGATGAGATGAGTGACAGCTGTGCCTGAAAAGGTCTCATTTTTATAATAAAATGCTCCTCTTTTTGCAAGGACATTCAGCATTTGACTTCTTTCCTGAACTATGAGTGAAAATGCTCATTTGTGGGGGTCTCTTGAAGAGTTTTCTCAATGCAAAGAATTTATGGGAAGAGGATTCTCATTATTATAATTTAAAAAATTAAAGTTCAAGGAGAGTAAGGTTTTTCAACTGGGAGTTTCAATGTATTGAGGGGTTCGGTAAGTCTTGATTGACTGGTATGCTAATCCCTTCAATTTCGAGGACAATTAGGGTTAAGTCACCAGCGCACACAACATACAGTTAGGTCTGCACTGGGAATGATACCAGTGAGGAGTGTGGTCACATCAGCAAATATCGTTCGTGTTAATGAAATGATCGGGGTCCATCTTCAGTTGGAAATGGTTGTCCTTGCCGCTGTGCGATCGAGCAGAGGTTTCGTGGACATCGTTCACGAACATCTGCATTACCATCTAGTTGGTGCCTGTTGGCTCCCTAGGGCACTGAGATTCGCGTTGAAGATGAAACTTTTGGACAACTCCAATCGAACGCCAACTATGAGAAGCAGAGGGTTTTCTCCTCAGGATCATCTCCGGCGATGATACGCGGGCTTACTTTCTGGAGCAAGAGAGCGAGCATGAAATGGCGCCATCCATCGTCCTCGTTGTTCTCGAGTTCAAATCGCAGCACTCAGCTGGTAAGGTGATGTTGAGTACATCCTGTGAAATGGACTGTGTCCTCCTTGAATTCATGCAGCAGGGGACAGCCATTAACAGTGGGGCGTCTAGTGACATGCCGTACAATCGTTTGAAAATCGGCGATTCGCACCAATCGGCGCGGATAGTTGTCCTACGTGACAACTCCAGTCAACATTCATCAAGCACTACCATCGGCGTCATTGACGAATTGGGGGTTGAGCGGTTCTCTCATCCTTATTTAGCCCCGATCTGGTGCCGAGGTTTTTTGTTGTGCGTTTCAAAGGAGCCTTGAAGAAGTCCATCTGTGGCCGTCATTTCGATACGAATGACGAAGTGCAGGAAGCGGTGCGTGAGTGACTCCTCCACACGCAGCGACTTTCCTTCTTCGCAAAGCCGTGCTTTGGTACATCGCTAGGTCAAGTATGAAGTTGAGAGGAATGCTAAAGTCAGAAATTCGTGTAAGTAAAGTTAGATTATGAATTACTTATCTTCCAATACCTTTTTTTTATTGTAAGTGATCCTCGTGCTTTATATTGGGATGTTATGTTTTTCAGACATATTGAGATGAATGTCTCGTAAGCCATCTGGTTCTCACTTCAGAAAGAGATTTGTAGAGCAAGAAAAACTCTTACAGTCCATGTCGGGTTCCATGCTAAATTACTTGAAGAAACCGAAGACAGACAATGGTCAAGATACGTTCGATGCTTCTGAATTTGCGTTTGTCATAACTCATTCCCCTTCCAAGTGAAGGTCGTGACATTCAAGATTCTTGCGAGTCAGAAATAATCGCCATAACTCCGACAGCTTTGTTCATTTCATGAACACCAACAAGCAGTTAGTCATTTGAATCCGGAAAATGTTGATGATCCAGATGCTAGTGATGAGCAGAAATCTTGAATTGTCTGCATCAGAATCTGACTAGTTTGGCACGCAAAATCTTTCTTAGTATGATAAATAACAACCAAATCCCATTTCAGGACTAAGTCATGGGCTTCCAAGCAAGGAATCTGAACTCCCTGATTCGTGTGATCATTTTCCCTCCTATGGAGATAACTGCAATATCATCCAAAAGGTGTGTTCCTGCGCTATGGCCCAAGGTAATAAATGATAAAGCAAGGACTCTCGTGATGAGTGGGCCCTGTAAGTTGACTGACCACGATTTCCAAAAATCCGACTATGAAAGGCGGTTCAGTCCTTTCAATTTTAACCGTATTCTTCAAAATGGGAACAAGTCGAAAGAAGGTGGCTGATTTACTTGGTTAGCAAGAATCCATGTTTCTGCTTTCCTTGCCAACTTTTTTTCCCCACCCAATCAACTTGAAAAACCAGAGTTAGTGACTGGAGGCATAACAGCAACATCCTGGCTGGGCTGAGCGTGAAACTTGGAGCAAGCACGACGATCGATCAGCATCAACTCTTCATTCATCCATAAACGATGCATTAGCGCAGTGCATTTGGAAAGACTCCTTGTTGTTGTATCAACACGCAGGACAGAAAGCAAATCACTGAATCGGCATTGATATGTAATCGAACTCATATAATAGAATCTCGTAGTACCAAATCGAGATAGACCAAATGTAAAAAGTAACCAAAATTCATGTCTCGAAAACGCATTGCATCGAAAAACGTCCCTCTGTCCCATGTTCTTGATGCATCATTCGGTCCTATGTGATTAGAAGCTACGTGATATCCGGCTCCAGATCAAAATTGACCCTACGAGACCCTTCGTTTTTTATACGCAACGCGTTTTTAGCCAAATGTTACGCTAGTTTTTGAGCCTACGTGTTTTTTTGGCACTAAGAGATTTGATGCTACGTGGCACTCCCACGAGGAGATATGTTCCGAACAACGGGAAGTTCTTGAGTTGGAAGGAACTCGTCGCTAAGTATTATTCGGTAATGAAGGAGAATGAGGGAAGGATCCCGTTCAAAGTCCTGTTCATGATCGTTATTCAGTGTAAAGAATCCGGAATGATTTAAATATCAGTTATACTCTGTTTCTGGATTGAACTCGTACCACCCCCCTATAGTGGAGAATGGAGAAAACACACATTTTCAGAGGTTCCGCCTCAGCAGGGTACGAATTCAATCCGGAAACAGTGTAGTTATGGAAGTTCAGATAAGGATTTTGAATATGCTGAAGGAAGCAAAGTATTATTCTATCATCCTGGACTGTACTCCAGATGAAAATCACAAGGAGTAGATGTCTTTGTGAGATTCGTCGCTTGCTTTGGTCAAAAGAGTCGCATTCGAGTGCATTTTCCGAGATTTCTTGAAGCTAGGGAGAAGATTGACAGAGACTTTGCTGCAGACACCTGAGAATCATAGGCGCCGACTTCTAAAAAATAAAGGGGGGGGGGCCGCCAAGGTCCTTATGCCTCTGAAATAGCATGGACGCAATCATTCCAGGATCCATTGGGGTAGCTCAGTACTGTATTATGGTAGCTGAGTGACGGGTGGGGGTTGCTGGGCATGGAGAGGGCCAGGGGCTGTATTCTACAGTATTACTTTCTTAGGTGCGATTTCCCTCTCAGCAAGGTGCTTTGCTCGTACTTGCCCCATTCAAATGTATGGCCGAGGTTGAGCGATTTGCTTTATTTAAGTCTAAGATTTTCATAGAATACTGCCCTAGGGCTCTCACCCTTCTATCCCATACCCTTACATCAGTGGTGCCCAACCCGTGGCCCGCGAGGCGCTAAGGGAGAAAAAAAAATATTCTGGCTGTATTGCAACTGGAAGGGCCACATCTAAATGACCTGGGGCGTGTCTTTTTTCTCAGCGGCTCAGCTAGTTCTGCTGAGGCCTCCAGCATCCCATGACGTCATGTTAGGGCTGAGCTGCTCAGCGCTCCCATAGTTCGCTATGTACCGCTGCCAGCTACTTGCCCAAGAGTGACGTCATTCAATGACGTGGTCGTGCCTAGCCAACGCGTCTTTTTCGCTAGCAGCTGCTAGCAGCTGGAGAAAAAGACACGCCCCTGGGCTAAGCCGAGCAAAAGCAGCGATTCTTATCGTCTCGAGGTGGAGGTCGGGAGGTGGGGAAGTTAATAATCCTGCCCTGGAACTTTCTTCATTTTGTTTTGTTTCATAATCTGCTTACAATAAAGTGAACCCTTTCTCGACGGGGGGCACCTCGACCAAGGCCCTAACGAGCCGGCTGGAATTAGCGTCGAACCCTATCTTTGGTGGCTCCTCCAGTTGCGGAACAGCCAAAACAACTTCATGCGCAGGTGCACATGCCTTCTTTCATTCTCAGTTGTTTCAACTTGAGGGGTTTTCAGTACGTTCCGTGAACAAAAATGAGTTTCAGCAAGCCAAGTTCGAGAAAACGCAAAGGAGATGACAGTGTGGAGTGTCGGGAATTTAATTCAGAGTGGGAAGACAAGTACATGTTCACTGTCGGAAAAGAAGGAAAGCCAGTGTGCCTGGTGTGTGGTTTCTCTGTCTGTGTTGAAAAAATACAACTTGGAAAGGCACTACAACACAAATCACACAGGCCTGGATATGAAACATCCCATCAGCTCTGACCTCCGAAAGGACTATATCGCAAAGTTCTCTCCCGCTTTTGGTTACTCAAGAACAGCGTGCTGCAGTTTTTGGAAGAAAAGGGCGAGTTACCAGCGGAACGAGAACTTTTGCTTGACAGTAAGTGGCTCAATGACTTAGCTTTTCTGACAAAGTTCTCTCCCGCTTTTGGTTACTCAAGAACAGCGTGCTGCAGTTTTTGGAAGAAAAGGGCGAGTTACCAGCGGAACGAGAACTTTTGCTTGACAGTGAGTGGCTCAATGACTTAGCTTTTCTGACCGATATTACCGGTCACTTGAACACTTTGAATCTGAAACTGCAGGGGAGTAACAAACTTTTCACAAATCTTGCCAATGACGTTGCCTCTTTCAAACTGAAGCTGAAGCTTTTGGTGTCTCAGATGGCTCAGAGAAAGCTGGAGAACTTCGAACACTTAAAAGAGAGGGAGGCAGAAACCGGAGTCGACACGGACAAGTACAAGGAGATACTGGAGACCCTGCAAGAGATATTTCAGTTCCGATTTCAAGACATCGAAGCAGAAGAAGACAAAGTGACGCCGTTTACAAACCCGTTTATCTTCTCTGACGGGAAGACAGAGTTGGTGGAAGAGAAGTTGCAGCTAGAAATGATAGACCTTAAGTGCAACTCCGTGCTCAAGAGCAGGTTCAACGAAATGCCTGGCGTCCCAACTGCAGAACAAATTATATCTTTTCGGAAAATACTGCCACCGAATAATTTTCCAAACTTACATGATTTTGCTCAGCGATACATCTGCCACTTTGGGAGTACCTACCGATGTGAACAAGCATTTTCGGCG